CGACGGCTTGGACTGCAGCTTGGGGTTTTCCCTACGTTTGTTGGGTGTGGGTGTGTGAGTGAGTGAGTGAGTGAGTGAGTGAGTGAGTGAGTGAGTGTGTGTGTGTGTGTGTGTGTGGGTGGGTGTGGGTGTGGGTGTGTGGGTGGTTGTTTTTGTGCAACTGCACATGCAAAATGGACTCCACACAACGTACAAAGCAGCTTTCTCCTGCTCTGGCCTAACAAAGCTCGCCTTCCTATGGCCTGGCGACCGATTCGGGTCAACAAAAATACGAGCTTGTCACCCCAGCCGAGTGCGCACAACGAGCTTTCCCCGCCGTCAGGGACCGGAGATGACGGCGACCTGATCCACATCTGACAGTTTAGAAAACCTGACCTACACTGCAAGAAAGTCGCTCCTTAGCAGCTACTTAAGTTCGTCTATGTGCGATGTGTTCGTCTATGTCGGTGTTTGTATGCGCATGCGTGCGGGCACATGGTGAGAGTTTCTAACTGCTTCCGGTGAGGCCAGTAGTAGATGCTACTGTAGTAGATGCTACTTGTAGTGTGCTTACGGACGACATGTGTCTTGTCTATCATCCAGAGAAATCGCAAAAGCCAACTGAATTTGCCTGAGACCATTCGAAATCCCACAACAACGAAATCACAACAGTCTCGAGGGCCTCCAGATGTTCCCTCCAGTCCTAAAAGCAAGGACTTCTTCCCTGCGACCGACTGTTTGACCGTATCTGAGAATTTGACCATACTTGACTCGAGCTGATAATCCAGGCATGGATTCCCCAACAAGGAGGACAGCTCAGAGCCAGTCAAGTTGAAAGGCTTCAGTGTTGGGAACCGCAGGGATGGGGCAGTGCATGTCGGATAGCACCGCTAAGTTTCTCATTTGGCCTGCTCCGGTCTAGTCTGGTCCGTCCCTGCATGTTCGGTTTTCTGAATGTTTGGCCTGCCTGATGTACTCATTCAAGCACAAAGAAGCAGCTTTCAAAGTGCAAACCAGGAAGGCGTACGCGGGCTGCGTGCTTCACAGCTATGGAGTCCGCATATGTATCTAGAGTTACTTACCTACGCATGTTGCTTTCATGAGAAACTACCCTTGCGAAAGAGAGATGAGCACTTTTCAGTCGGCATTGGCGTTTGTATGTGTTCGATACCTTTCCTGTATACGTGACGCGAGGATGACACTTCGCACCGATCGCCCGCCTGGAAGCCCTATCTGTACAAGGGCAAGAGCAAGTTGACCCTGCAACTCGACGAAGTGGAACTCTGCATTGAACGGCGCATGCTGTCGCAAGTCATTTTGAATCGCAACTGGGGTAAAGAACAACAGCGCTTTCAGTCTGGGGTGCTGATCTTGGCAGCTGGACGCAGCAAGCTTTGGGTCAGGGATTGGGGTTTGTGGTGTGGTTTGCATGGGTCCAGAGAACTGGAGCGAGAAGCCGCAGATCATTTCACGCGCTGGAAAGATCTGGAAAGCAAGGTCAATCGTGGAAACGATCAACTGTACCCTCTACGGCAAGCCCGAATATGAAGATGCTGCCCGACTGGCAGAGCGTGCATTCGACAGCTAGCGTTGCTTTCCAAGGGCTACATGAAGCCACATGTTTCCGTTGATTGCAGTTGGGGCCGGCCAACTGTGTCAATCCGGCTAACTGGTTTTGTATGCGCCCAGTTGGACGAAGTCTGTTGAAGACTGCAATTGACTAAAATGCTTGACGGAGCGTCGAAAGCTTTCGTAGTCTTTGAGCCTGCATCACCGGCACCGCAACTCCAAGCCAAGCAAAGATGACTCGACTAAATTTGGAAAGTTTAAATTGCATGACAAAACCATGTCGCGAATTGTGCAAGGAGTGCTTCATCCAGGGCACCGTTTACTGTTGTGCTGACATTGCTGGAGTGCCAGAAGTGCGTCTTGGCAGAAGCAGTGAAGAATGACTTACTTGGGAGATTTTCAGGCCGGCATTGGACAGCTATCTTGCTCGGTGGATAAGGCTATGTAGTGGAAGCTGGAAGTTAGCAGGATCTAGAGTGCCGAATGTCTCCAAATCTCTGTTGCACGGCTATTTAGATCACAGAATCCTTTGGCAGTCCTGACCGGCATCCGCGACACACCCTCGTTTGAGGTGCACATCGGCTTGCACTCGTATTCCTTTGCCCCGTTTGGCCTGCCCACAAAAGTCGAATCCAACCTATGGCTTGCACCGAGCAGCACAGGTGCGTGCCCATCTCATTCCAGCCGCATACTGCCAAGACTTCCTCGGGGGCCGAGGCTGAGGAGGCGCCACGCCTGGTAGTGTCATGACTTAGACTCAGTCAATAGTTAAACAGTATTTATCAGGGACATACATTTCGCCAGCCGAAATTCACACCGTTCACAGGACACCAGCTTGCATTCCTCCCCACCGGATGCTTGGCTTATGCCGGAGTCTCTTGCGGTCGGAGAGCAGATTCCAGCGCGTGCAGTTTATCTTCAGAGAGCTGCAGCTCCGCGAAACTTTACACTGCGACTCGAGCTCGATGTTTTGATTGACCCTGTGATCTGCATTGCCATATTTTGCAACCCGAACTGTGCCTTGGGTCAGAGTGAAGAACCAAGGAAATCAGCGTGCACAACTGCCTCTTGGATTTCAAGCAGTTGTACTTGTGTGAGCTTTCGCCAGAGACTTTTTGAGTTGTGGCTGCTTCCTGCAGCTCAAGGAAACTAGCCTTTGGCAGAAGCTGTCTTGCTAGCGAGAGCGCAGAGGATAGTCTGATGGTTCGCCCGGTACCAAATCACAGGCTCAAGCCGTAAATGTCCGATGTGCGAGCCATCAGACATGTAAGTCGTATGTTGCCAAAATCCATCTGACAAGGCCCTCTAGGGCTTCACATGTTGGTTATCGGACAAATTCACGTTCGATCAACCGGCCAGGCCGCGTGCTTCCAGCACCTTGTGCCGGGAATCGAGAACCGCTAATCGATTTTGTCAGCTCGGTCATTTTGATCAGGATTTCTTTTTGTTTTGGGGGGGGAGGGGGGGCGCAAGATCGCGTGAACTTGGTCATCTTGCTCGGGGAGTCACTGCTAGTGGGGGGGGGCATGTTCACGTCATCTTGGTGGCCTTGCTTCGGGACCGAACTGGTGTGGGGCAAGGTGACGTGAAATCGTCATCTTGACCCCAGCCAAGGGGACATCACACTTGCACTTGAACCTCTTGCATCGCTTGCACCAGGGGCGAGTGGTTCAAGGAGTGGGAGAGCCGAGCCCCTTCCACGACGAAGATGATGCGTCAACTTGCCACACTGCCAGAATGGCATGGAAGTCATGAGACACACTTCCGATCACAATCTTAGTTCGCCCCCCACCGTCCCATCACAGCTCCACCGCACTGTGCGGTAAGGTGCACACATCGTTGGGGGCATCAAGCCAGCCAAGGACAGACTTGCCCGGCAGCACAGAACTGAATTTCAGGGCTGCTTTAATTGGGTCATCATGCGACGATTGTTTCGAAGACTCATGCGAGAGCAGGGCAGCTACGCAGATGGTGTAAATTCTCTCGGGTGCACGGGTTGCCGGAAAGGCTGACATTCGCGAAACTCTCGCGTATTCATCGGAATTGGAAGCAGCAAGACTTTTCTACTTCTGCTTATGTTCGGTTGTCCTGGCAGATGATAAACAGCATGCTGCACCTTCGAGGACGAGTCCTTCAAAATTTCCTGTCTGCCACCAACAGGGCCTTTCGTTCTTTGCAGGCACCCTGCTTGCATGTCAGCTGAATACCAGCACCGGCTGGAGCGGAGTGTGAGACTTGCATGGAGGAGTAGACACCAAGCCTTTCTGTGAGGTACAACTTCCGGCGCAGCCCAAGCATACCCGTGCGAGGCAGAGTTGGTTTTGAGCTCGGGCTTGGGATTTTCTAGAGAGTCGTGGCCAGAAAGACTGTAAAGTGCAGTGCCTGAAGGTACTCTTTTCCGCGCCATCTGGTCTCTGGGGTTTCAGGTCATGCTCATCTCAAGTCTCTTGATTAGCCATGCTAAAGCAGACGGCTCTCAGCCATTCCATGTATCAACGTGAGGACAGTAAGAAAGCCCGGCCTCAACATCCTGAAGGCAAGCTGCCGGACTTGACCTCCTTCTGCCACCTTCCAGGCTTCTATCAACTGAAAGAGCTTTCGCCGGTCGAGTTTCGCCTCCTACTGCAGGCCTCCACGTGCTTGGGTTTGAGTTCTGGTTGCTGGAAGCCACTTCAGGCATCCGACCTCGAGTTCCTAACGTTCACCCTCTTCCTGGCTTAAGCACAACTTCTCGCCTTGAGCACATGACCGCCGCAGTTATAGGGGTGTTCAAGCGCGATGATCTTGATTTGCATCGCTCGGCGACGATGTCAACATCCGGCTGCGAGAAGCTGCCTAGGAGAAGCTGCCTTTGGACTCCCGCGATGTTGCTGCCCCCCTGGACTCCCGCCCGTCTGTTCACAACGCCTCGAAACCTGCTCAGATCGGGCTCCTCAGACAGGTCCAGCTGCATCCTCTCGTTTCTTCTGCCAGCAGCAGCGGATCCTGGAACTGCCAAGTGAGGCTTGCGCAGGACACTTTCTTGGTCCCAGAAAAGACCTGAAAGTGCGGTTGCTTCCTGCATGCGGCCACACAGATTCGTGCAACACATCATCATGCTCTTCCACTTAGAGGATCTGAGACATCACATGCCTTCAGCCATGCAGGCTCCCTTTCGACCACCGCGGTGTAATCCGATCCCACGACTTGAAATGCACCAGTGGTTCTTTCTCTCTCGCTGAGCCCTTGCTGCAGATCAGTCATTGAGTTCAGGTTCGAATTGGGCGCTCACTTCTTTTAAGACTGTTGTTGAGGCTTTTTGCTGGATGCTCGCGGTGCCTAAACAAAGCATCACTTGTAGTCAGTTGTGTGCCCTCCAGAAATGATTCAACTTTCTCAGGATCATAGTCGGAGCATCGTGTGGAATCTCAATGTGCGGAGACCCCGAGGCAGAGTGCGTCGGGTATGCGGGTGTTTCTCTGGTTACAGGAACAGAAATGTAAGCACAGTTCTCGGGCTGGGCTTTAAACCGAAGACATGATTCAGATTTTAGGCAAAGGCAGCCAATGGAGTGCAGGACAGGTGGTCATCAGGGTTAGTTAAGAAGGATCGCTACCAGCAACTTACCACTTGCAGTCGATGCTTCCTACTGCATCGGCTTCCTTGAACCGTCGAGTTGTGTGGCAGACTCGACCGGGAGTGGAGGTACCTTGGAGGCCAACCTTCTGGGCGAACTTATCTTCGAAGCTCCACAGAAGCCGCAGCAAGAGCAGCAGACGCGCGACTGTGGGAAGGTAGGGAATTAGGGGAATTATTTCTCTGCTTGGAGTTCTGGAGTCTAGAGTTTACGCGAGAGGAGGTGTGCAAGGAAACAGTGACTGACAAGAGGGCACACGAGTGGATTTGCGGTGACAACCAAGGACGAAGAGGGAGCAGCAGCTTCAGCAACAACAGAGCCAACAACAACAGCAGCAGCAGCAGCAGACACAGCAAACACAGCAACAGCAGCAACAGCAACAGCAACAGCAGCAGCACCACCAGCAACAGCAGTTGCAGCCACAACAGCAGCAGCAGGCACAGCAGCAACCATCCCAGCAGCCGTCGCCACTTGATTGCTCTGGTCTAGAATTGAACTGCTGATTGCAGCCTGGCATGATCATTAAGCTGCTACACATGTCGGGTGCCGTGGGATTGAAATTTCAAAGGGCCCGCAACTTCCAATCCGCCCTTTCTGAGAGGGCCAGCTCAGATGCCTCGGCGCAACTCCTCTTGTTCAGCTATCCTTGGGGCTGTGACTAGTTGTTGAAGCGTTTCCAAACCATGAGGCCTCGCCCGGCTGCGGATGCCGACAGGGCCGAAAAGGCGTGGGCTTTTCATAGCTGAAAAACTGAAAATTTATTGAAGTTGTGGTCTGCTGCGTCAGTTCTTGGGAAGCTCTTTCTGACGGCAAGCCTGCAGCACTGCTGACTGCTGACTGTATGCGAATCGCTGGGCAGAACATGCGACTTAAACAGCATGTAGACTTTCGAAATCTCGCGACGGAACGCACGAGGCAACATCAATCTTGAAACGGAGGATAAAGTTCATAGAATTTCATAGAATTCAGAGTAGCCTTTCGATTGAGAGCTGGATCCCTGGTCCCGGAGCCGCCGCTACTACAGCTCACAGCACAGGCTCGAAGCTGATAAAGCAAACACACACGGAATCCTGATTCGGTTTGGGTTTTGGGATGTTTCGGGACGTTTCAGGCAAGGTGCGAGCAGAGTCATGCATGAGATACATAGCAGGCTTCCGCAGCGGCTTCCGCAGCAAGCCACACGGACACGCCTGTCGTGCCGCGGCCAGCAAGTGCTCAGCTGTGTATGCTGTTTTTGAAGTGTGACTGCCAGAGAACCGTCTTGAAGTCATGGTGTGCAGCATGGCCCAGGAGTCTCAGGAGCCGTCTGAGATCGAGGAGTTTGAGAAATCAGGAGCTAGGGGAGGGCCCTTGGTTGTCAGTTCTTTGGGGATTCCATTGAAGTTTTGGTTTGGGAATTTGGGACGGTTTGTTTTGAGGATCAGTGCTGCACCTTGAAAATGCGTGTCCCATGCAGGAGCGCCAGCCGCCAACGATGCTTCAGCCTCTCGATCGGGCGTCGACATGCCCCTCGAAATTCGTGGCCGTCGTCTTCCCTGTGTCTTTATTACCACCGGACACACAACAGCCGCGAAGGTTGCTGGAGGTGAAAAAACGTGAAAGAGGAAGAACTTCGCATGAGCCCAAGGCTTCTCAACGCAGCTGGCGGTGGTGCACATGCTGGAGGCGAAGGCGCGGCGAACTCGGCCGACTCAAAGTCTAAAGGCTGATGTGTTGATTTTAGGTTCGAAGGCGTGTCGGACGAGGTTTCTGCTGAAGGCCCAAGACTCCCACCAGGAAGCTGGGTGCTTGGAGAGTCAAAGTCGGTGCCGCAGATTTCGAGGTACAGCGGAAGGATTCTCGCTGCTGGCAGCTTTGGCCTCTTCAGCTGCAGATGTGCTGCCGTCAACCTGCCTACTCCCACCTGTTCTATATGTTGTTCTATTTTTATCTGTCTCTTCGTGCTTCAACGCTTGTTGTGATCGATTGCTGCAACACTAGATCGGGTTCAGGGAGTGGTGCTTGTTCAGTCCTTGTTGAAGAGGACTGCTTCGAACACAAGGTACGCTTGGAGACAGTTTTGTGCAGACCTACAGTCTACTTGCTTAGGTTCGATACCCTGTAAATGGGTTCGTTGACCTGGAACGGCGTACTGGCATGTACCTCCGACGCAGATGACTTGCAGCGTTGACCCTGAAATTCCCAATTCCCACAGGCAGATCTTACAACGTGATCTCCTCTGCCTTGCAGTCGGCTAACCGGTGAAGAATTCGAGGAGCGAGAACGAGAAGGTGGCATGGATTCCAGCTTCAAGGCGAAGTGGCCGGAGGCTTCCCTGAGTGTTACAAATGCAGATGATCGGCTTCGGTTTACGTCTGGGCTCAACCAGTTTAGCCTGCTTGCTCGTGTGCACGAGTGCTTGAAGAGTGTACAAAAAGATTCTCATGCGTGGCTTGTGTCATTGCGGCTTATACTGCATCTACATTCTACGTCTAGGGGCTCGGCTTCAGGACTGTTGAGCTTCGACCATTTACAGACCTTCAGGCTTCAGACTTTGGGGAAACCATGGGAAACCGCTAGTCACCCTAGTCTGAGCAACCTGGATGCGTTGGATTTGAAGCAGAAGTTTTGGGGAACCGTGCAGTCTTTCGATTGCATACGCACTCACCTGTCATCACTGGGCACCAGCCTTGTCACTTCCCAGCAAAGACCGGAAGCTCCCAACCCGTACATCTACTGAACCCCCCTGCTCGTATGTCTCTAGCGTTCCTGTGCAGGAAAACCAGTTCGACGTCCGCTCGGGCACGAGCTTCTCGCCTGAGCCGTTGGATGATTGCCTCAAAAATACTTCATTTGTTGGGCATGCGGCATAGCAGCATAGCAGCGAGGGAACCTACACACAAGTTGCCTGAACCGCTGAACCGCAACCCCTTTTGCCGCAAGCAAGGTGGAAACCAAGAAGGGCCGAACGACGATGACAGCCAGGCACCTGCTCAGCGAGCTCGTACAGTCCCGCTGCTTACCGGTAGTAGGAGAATAAGACCTGGAGCTTGCAGGCTTCATGCACAAGTTACATAATCCAAGATGTGGGTCACGGATCATGCGACTGCAGGTTGACCTGGAGCACGGCAGCCTGGTGATCGCAGCCGTCGGTGCCCCCCGGGCTGCCTTGGCGAAGCCGGCAGCTGTGGCAAAAGGCACCACCAACACTGCACTGCATGAGGGCGAACATGATGTCAGTGGTTACTGTACTGGGGCTTCAGAGAACTTTTGGTTTTGAATGGCTTTCGAAGTGCTTTGCGTGTGCCGTGGCTTTTGGACAGGTGCATTGCCAGCTGCAACCCCGACAGCTGCTTCTGCCAATCTGGGTACCATGACACCACCAGAGGCCTTGCTGGCCAAAAGAAGCGATCTCTATCTCTCCGTTTCTGTGATCTCTCAGCCAACTGGCTCTCTGAAAGCTCCCCAGCTTGGCTTGTAGGACCCCTTCCTCATGGGTGTGAACTGCTACGCGGAGGTCTTCTTGGAAGCTGGGCCTTGTAGGGTTGGAAAGCGGCTTGTGGCCGTCTCGTAGTTCCTGAGTGCTCAGACTTCGCTGAGGAAGTACCCGATGTGGCGCTGTCCGGGATACACGTCGACCCAAAGGTTCCGCGACGCAGAGAACCAAAGGAAGCAAAGCTCGAGCTCCCTCGGGAAGCAGTATGTCCAGTATGCCAGCAGAGTCCCAGCCAGACTCTTGCGAATGAGAGGAAGTTCCAGGTGCCACAAGATGCCGAGTTATTCTAAAAAGGGACCAGGCAGCCAAGGACCCAGCAGATAGATTTTTTGGTCGTTGCATCACTCGATCGCACGGAGGCTGTCACAGTTTACCCCACGACTCGCGTCTATGGGGGGGTTGCCGTGCAGAAGGAGTTCCTGACCGGAAAGCAACTGGTCGTTGTTTGGTTTGAAAGTCCTTGGTTGGTTTGTCGAACTTGCATCTACGACGTTCGAGGACTCTGGTGTCCATCGTTTCGCTTGCTTGTCCCATTCAGTCTATGAACCCAGTGGCTCGTGCTGTGAACTTCGACGAGACATGACTTTCCTATTCGGAGGTTGGGTGAAGGGTGTGAAGGTCCGGTGCAAGTCGAACAAACATGTTTTGCAGTCAAGAGATTTTGCCTCCACTCTTTTGGGACGACTCGGAACTGACACGTAGCCGCCGAGCTCCACCAAGCTCGGAATCAGACCTTTTGGAATGAGAAAAGCCAGTCAAGCGTTTCCCACTGGCCAACTCAAGGTACATCATTTGGAACATGGCCGGAGACGTGCGAGGTGACCGCTTGCAGGGCATTCTGTGTGATGAGCGAACGGCAGCATCAGACAGAACTGTTGTGGTGTCACGCTGCCTGTGTTCGGAACGAATCGGGGAGTAGAACTGTGAAAGGACGTGTCATGCAGGTCACTTCAACGGACTTGAGTTCGACCGGGAAAGTGCAGATGCTCAGCCGACGCTGAAAGGCGAGACGTAGTGCGTTCGTAGTTGCACCAGAATATACCAGAATGCCTGGATCAATGGCTTCAGGCCTGCTAGGCCAGAAGACTTGCGCTTGTCAGCTTCGTTTCCGGCCGTGTTTCTCTCGAGATTCTGCCTCGATGAGCCAGGCCGCAAAGATCCCCATAGCCCCCACCCGTGACCATATCTAACTCTATAGACTGGCACCCATGTACAGGGCAAGCAGCTTTGCAGGGAAGCTTCGCACTGCTGTGATGCAACAGTGGATGTGCAGAGTCGAAAAGTGCTCACCCCAGAACCGAGAACATCTTCAAATCTGGAACCCAGGATATGACTCCGGTGCTTAGTCGGGTGAGTTTGTCAACGGCCCAGAAAACCCAGCCTCTCCTTCGATGTCTCGTGTTGCTCCAGGCGCACCTTTGGAATCCTTAGCCCACAATGAAGGCTGAAAAACAACATCATCAAACCACACAACACATCCAAGTAACATCCGCGCACGTGGATGGCTGCAGGCTGTGCCAGTCAGCCAAGGTCGATTCACCTGTCCTGCCCCATATCGCATCGGGCGACTCGGCGTTACGTGAGAACATGAGGTTTGGAATGTCACTTCAATGTGTGTGTGCGCGTGAGGGGCGAGTTTTGGGATGTTGGGTCGTCGGATTCGAGGCTCGCGCTTTGGGGATTCAAGCGCATCTCGCCGACTACCGAGATCGCAGACATCAAGGGTTAGACTGTTCATGAGTTCGTGATAAAAGAGAGGACAACAATAATGAGATCAGCAAGGCTAGTCAGCTCCCGGCAGCTCCATGGATTTGGTGCCCAACGACCATCAACTACCAAACTCTTTGCCTGCCGGTGTTGTCAAACGAGACTATAGCTGAGAAATGTGCAGTCAAATCCCTTGACCAAGAAACTGTCGAAGCGCAAAAATGCGACTGAACGCTGCAGATCATGGACATCCCGATGATCACGCCGTCTGGCCATAGCTATGACTTTCGAGCAATCGTGGGATGCTCGGAATCCGAAATCTTGGAACGCTCCAGACGTTCCACCGGTCCAGCATAGTGGTCGAAATTTGCTACTGGGTGTGCTGCTGCTTCAGCTTTGCCTGGCGCAGCATGGAAAGCAACTGAGACCGAATGGCTGGCAAGACGCCGCGTGGATCCTTTGACCCTGGCCCCGCCAGCACCTTAGGGGAGGACACCTTCGGGTCTCTGGCGGCTTCGGGAGCCGTGCTCGACATTCTGCATCAGACTCGCTTAAGGGCAGTGCACAGCCGGAACGTAGAGAACACAATCCTCAGTGCGAACTTGGTTCAGAAGCTGGGCGGCCACTTGCCGTGCAAGCAAAGCTTGTGGTTTGGAACGATGACATGAGCATGTTCATTGGGAGGGCGGACCAGGCTGGCCATAGGGACGAGCAGAACATCCGAAGCCACCAAGCCTGAACGCTTGCTCTGGACGCGTCACCTTGTATCGACCTGGCACATCCGTCCGCGCAATGTGCAGCAACATCCCTGAGCCTGGGGCCTGAGCCAGCTTCGGGAGCTGAGGCTGCAACCGGGAGAGCTCTACCCCAACCGCGTTCTCAAGGAGTGGTGTTGTATCATGTTGTATCATAAGAGGACGAGAGCGAGCCACAACATTGCAGGACGAAATCATTGAGCAACTGCTAAAGCTGTCCAAAACGGCAGAGGACAACGGCGAGTACGAGCCGCGGGCCCAAACCGCTGTTCAACAACTTCCGTCAAAGAGCCATAGCAGATAAGCGTTCTGAAATGCAGCCGTTTGGTTGTGAATGCTAATGCAGAATGGCACACGCAAAGGCAAGAGGGCGATGCTAGATCTTGATAAGAGTTCATGAAGGCTGCCTGTATAAACACAGGTGTCGTCACAAGAGCTTATCCGTATAAGGCAGAGCCCAACTTACCTGAGGCTCTCCGATGCAGCACGGGCCAGGGTTACCCACATCCGGGGACTGGCGATTCCACCGCTCCAGGTTCGGCATGGGCAAACAAGCTAGGCAAAACTTGACACGTTGCAGGGTTTGAGGGGTCAGGCACACGGGTGCAGCTTTTTTTGAGCAGCTGACGTCCCGCATGTCAAGTTCCCATGATAATCGGCTAATTCTCGTGTGTTCTCTCGCCTCAGCGTCCCGCGTCCCGTGGCGGCAAAAGAAAAACCTACACCCCAAGTTCTCTGCTGTGAGTCATGACGTATGCTCGACTCCCTTTTGCAATGCTGAGATTGGATCTTCAAAGCCATGTGAAGTGCAGCAAGGTCCAGCCTCTGAAACCCACACTGCAGCCAAGCTGTGACAGCGGCAGGGTGATGGCAAACGAACTACTCGAATTCAGAAAGTGCGACGCAGCTGCAAGTTTCCGGCGAAGGGTTCCTGCGGAGATTGCAGACAGGTTCAGCTCGAAGGAAGCGAGCTCACAGTCACATACAGTCAGGGTGAACGTCCTACACTGGTTTCGCCCGCTTCCATGTAGTCCACCGTTTGATCGCATTGGCTTGAAGCTTTGCGTTCTGAAGGCGACGTTCTCAGAACTTGGAGGTGGTTCTTGCCTTGCACCTTTGAACATGTGTTGAACTTTCGTTCGCTGTGTCCTGCCATCCCACAAGCTCCTTTCCACGACCTTGAGCGTGCCGAAAGATCGGAGTGTTCACCTTGCTCCTCAAATACAGAAACTTGCAAGCCAATTCCCTCCCACTGCTGTTGTGAACCCCGCCCCAGCACCCCCAAACACTGACTAGCTAAGATTGGATCGCTGTGCCATCTATGCAGTGTGGCACAGACCCCAGTTGCTGTGGGGCTTTTGAGTGCAGAGCCCCATCCTGGATACTCAAGGATTCGGAAGGTTTGCTTGAGGCTGGAGTGCAGCGCCCAACTCCCGCAGTCCAAAGCGGCCTTGAAAAGACATCGGAGACAAGAGTAACTGGCCGTGAGTCAGCGACGCCCGTGTGACACTCCTGACTTGACTTTCTGATCCTGACTCCCGACAGAGAAGCTGACAATGGCAAAGGTGTGGCCTCCTCGCTTGGGAGCAGATGCTTGTGCTACTCGCCTCATTGCATTAAGCACATCGCGCAGGACCGAGCTTGGGCAGGGTGTTCTTAGTAAGTGCCACAAGCAGGTCGGTTTAGGATGGACACAGTGAATCTGAGCTGAGTGTTGATTCGGCCTGTCAGGTGTCTTCCCCATCCTCCCGAGGGCCCGCCCCCAGAAAAGGGAACCCAAGGTCGAGTAACAGACGCAAGAGCCCGGTGGCAAACAGAACAAAGGATGTTCCCACAGATCAGAGTACGTGGTGGGAAGGAGGGGAGGACGCCCTACTTGTAGCAGGGGAAAGCCTTACGGAAAGGGGAAATCTAACTTTGTCTTGGTCTGGGCGCACTGCTTTATCACCACAACACACCTGCATTGTGTATGGCGAGAGACAGTTCCACTGGTTTTTCAACCTGGCAATGTGAGTTCCCGACATGTACAGGAGAGGGCGTCCCGAATCCCAGCACTGCATTTCTCCTACTCGTAGTCCTAGCCCTGAATCCGCATTCCAATTCGCTGTCATCGTAAGCTGCCACACTGCTCGGAGTGAATGCCAAGACATGTGCAAGCCTCCGTCGGCCCAGGTTCACGACATCCTTCGGAGCGATCTTGCCACATGCTGAAGAAGAAGCGTAGTCGTAGTGGCTTTGGGGGTTGCAGGTTAGCTTTGGACTTCATCTCATGTGCTTTCAAGGAAAGAGTGACATTCGTGCATCGTGCTGACATGCACGTGTCATCTCGTATCGCAGCAGGGCATGAAGCCAGGTAAAGCCAAGTCTACTTAGCCTGCTGGGGCACGAACCCAGGTGTCTACTCCTCGATGCGCGCAACTCCTTGCGCATGCGGGTTGGCACTATGCTCAACAAAAGCGCGTCCTCACCCCATCCGCCGCTGCTGGCCGGGGAGCGAGGGGTAGGTCGCAAGTTTGCTTATGCACTAGCGAGAACGGTTTATTTCACACAGTATAGAAAGAAGCCTGCCGTTCCCTGAATTCCTCCTTAGGCATGATATGTTTGTATTCCCGATTGGCCCTGAACAGACACTATCAACGATGTCGTGAGAGCACCTTGCCCATAGGTGCAGGGTGGCTGATCGCTCATAGGTCGCATCAGAATCAGAAGCCTCCACTGACTGCTCCGATTCAAAGATCCAGACCAGCCCTCCCCCCCACGATTTCCAGACTTCTGCTTCATGCAGGAACAGAGGTTGTAGACGTGAGATGTCAGCCTTGTCTGCAAAACAGCGTGCTTGGTGCAGGCGGCGTTCTTGAAATACGCCTTCTTCTCGACACCAGCACCTGGGTGCTTGGGCAGGCATTTTTGCATCTTGTGACAGATCTGAGTGTGGGCTCGGCCCCGCCTGCGGCAACTCCCAAAAAAAGGCCCTAGCATCCGGTCAAGGACAAGTATGGTCAAAAATCAGCCCAGGCACTGGTCTTGGCATGGGCGTGCTGCACTGGCAGCATTGCGGGGGGCCAGGGCCCCGGCTCACATCTCCGGGTTTTTTGGGCTTTTAGACGTGAATAGGGCGTGCCCTTGGCTGGCAGATGCGCGTGCCCGAAGCCTTGCAGAAGAAAACCAGCAAGGGGGTTGGGACGGCTTGGTCTCAGCTTCAACCTGATGTTCTCAGCTTGATGGTGACGGTCTGTTCCCATAGAGCCCTACTTTCATCTTGGAGTAACTGCCGGCTGATTCACTGCTTCCCTGGTTCTCACCCAGAGACCATCCGTTCGATTCACTGACTCATGCACTGGCCCACCTTTTCGTCTTTCCGCTGATGTTGGATCTCAGTTTCCAAGGGTGTTCAGCCTAAGGGTTTCAAGTTGCGTGGTCAGTTTCAACTTGGCGTTAGTCTCAGGCAGCCGGTTGAAGTATATCTATTTGGTGATATTGGATGCCTTTATGTGGTGCAGTACGATATTGCATGATAGTTTGTGATGCGTGTTTCATACCATGGAGCTACATGGTGCAGGATGTTGTATGGATTTGTGATCTTATGCGATACACATGATGGTCATTGTGCATAGTGTGATGACAGTTCTAGTACTAGATTGGACTGTTTTGAGTTGGATTCGGTTGCATTAGACATCATACTGTGCTGCATGGTGTTTGATTGTACTTACAGTTTATGATGTTATATCATCCTATGCTATGTTGTACTATATTACACTACAGTCTACTCTATATCTACTTTATATAACGGCATCTTCATGCTATTCCGGTTTATACCATATTGCATGCATAGTAAAAGTGTGCTATACTATACTACACTTCACGGCCACAGCTTCCAGAACGTGCTGTGCCGACAGAAGCGCCCCATCGCAAAAGACAGACACCTGGCTGGTGTCATGCAGGCATGCAGATGCAGAGCCGCCGAGTGGAGTCTAGGTTTGAGGAATATCCCAGCATCCGAACCTTACTGTACGATTGCAAGAGCGACTGCGCACTAGAACGGATGAGTTGAGTTCTTTTGCTGTCGGACTGCAAGAACTGCAGCCAGCAGGGGCCGCAGGAACGCAGGACCACAGGGCGTGCTGCCTGCCAGAGGAAGGGTTTAGCACAGCACTGGGCAATGGCAGGATTCAAAGCCACCCCCCAGTCTTGAATATTTCTCACGGAGCATATTTTTTGGTTTTCGGGGAGCGTGGAGAGATTGAAATTTTATAGCAGGTGAAGGGACTAACCCATTATAGCATCATAGAAACTTTTATTCAGATAACCTGAAAGCATATACGACAACCTGATCGCGCAATAAAATACAATGTTATACAATACAAACTAGTACAGTATAGTATAGTGTAGTGTAGTACAGAATTGAATAGATTAGTATAGCATACTGTAGTATTGTATAGTAAAGTACAGTATAGTGCAGTACAGTGTAGCACGCCAAACATAGTAAAGTATAGCAACTATAGTATATGATAATACAGCACAACACAACACGATGTGATATGATATGATATAGCAGAATATATAGCAGCAATACGTTGCAATACAGTGAGAATATATATATGTATATATATATATAAACGCGGTGGAATCATTTTCCCAGGCGGAATCGCTTTCTCAAGTACTGGCAGTTCCTCAACGCAGTCAGAACCATGCCCACAATGCGTTTCCCGAAGGTACTGGCGGGAGGCAGAAACAGTGGGGGCACGGCGGAATCGCTTTCGACCAAGTACGGGCATTTCCAAAACCCTGCGTACTGCATCCAGGACTATGCCGAAAATGCTTTGCCCCAAGTACTGGCGGGATTCAGAATCTATCAACGGCATGGGGAATCGCTTTCCCTCAAGTACTGGCAGTTCCTGGACCCACCGTAAAAGTGTTTTCCCCAAGTATACTGGCAGTAACTACGAACGATCCAGACGAACCACGGATCCGGGCATGCGAGGTGGCCGTTTCCGGGATGCGGGGTTGAAGATTGGATTTAAGGACCAAGCGTGCCGGAACGCAGTTTCCAACTTTCCGGCTTTGACCATAAATGTTGCCCGCCGTAGTAATGGTCGTTACAAACAGAAGCACAACACAAAGCACCAACGACACCGCAATTTTTCTGGTGCTGAATTTGTGTGCTTTTTCTGGTGCTAAATTTTGTGCTCATAGTTCTTTGTCTGGTGCTGAACTTTGTGCTCATGACAGAAATTCTCATTGCGGACGCGATGGGCGACTGCACTCCGAGTACTCGCGCATCCGCTCGAGTACGCTCGAGTACGTGGAAATTCTGGTGATGAATTTTGTGCTCATGATTGTGCTTTTGCTGGTGCTAAATTTTGTGCTCATGATTGTGCGTTTTCTGGTGCTTCATTTGGTGCTTATGATGGTGCTTGTTTCAAGTAATTTAAAGTTACAGCCTTAATATTTCGCCCCATGAACTCATACTTGCAGTCTTGATGCTCGGCAAGTTCTGTGCTCATGATTGTGCTGTTTTATGGTGCCAAGTGTGCTCATGATTGTGCTTCTTTTGGTGCTAAATTTTGTGCTCATGATTGTAATTTTTCTGGTGCTAAACTTTGTTCTCATGATTGTGCTTTTTCTGGTGCTAAACGTTGCTATAGATTTAATCCACTGCGCCTTCAAATCCTGGTGCTCATTTCTGCTTGTGTGATATATAAGGAACCTATCTCTGACTGATAGGGGGCAGCCTATGAATGTGTAGATCTGTTAATTAATTAAATATATATATATATATGTATATATATATATATACATATATTCTATAGTAAAGCAGAATTGAATTCAATATATTACAGTGTAATACAGCATATTACAATAACAGTGTGAAAATACCACCCTCCCTCCCTCCCTCCCTTCCTCCCTCCTTCCCTGCCACCGCAGTCCGTTGCAGTGCCAGTCTTGAGCTTTGACCGCTGCCTAGATGCTCGTTCTCTCCGTGGCTCCCATGTGCCTGACCTTCGCGCCAGGATCTCAGTTGAAGAGGTATATGAGTCTGGGTTCAAAAAGGGAATATAGGACAGTTGGATTCATTCGAGAATTTGCCTGACCCCTGTGCCTCAGCTTTCTTCATGGGCGATGGTTCGGCAACTACGAAAGGTTCTGTCGCCGAGAATGGCCGGCATCCTCGCCAAAGCATGTAGAGCATGCACTTCCGTCCGATGTCGCAACATCGCGTAAACCATCTCTTTGCAAATGCTCAGGCTGCCTCAACCAATATCCGCCGCAATCGCCCGGATGATCCCACAAGTGCAAGCCAACACTCAAGGCTTGGTGGCGCACTGTCGGTAGCGCACTTCTCGGCCAAAGTCAGCGAGGCCCATCTGCACAGAGTCTCACTGGGATTTTGAGTTTGCTCGCCAGCTGTGGAGGTCGAGGTGCCTGCAGTTTTTAAAGCAGTGCTGCGTCAGCTGCGCAACTCGGTGACCTGCAGGTGCGCGCTGTGGAGTTTGAGCGTGCAGGGCAAAACCGATGGTTCCTACGTCTTCTGCAGGCACGATGGAAAGTCGAGTCTTGCAGGGTGCAGCAGATGAGACGTGCTCAGAGCCTTTGCGAAGACTGAGCGGCTAGGTACTGCAAAGTCCCCTTGGTGCGGAGCAATCGGAGCGAGAATAAGCATCTCTAGACTTCGCGAGCGACGACACCTTGCGATCCTGCTTCAAGACAAAGTGAAAAGAAGACCTGGAGAGACGCCCCAATGGCCGCGGAGGTCTGCAGCGCAGTGACCGGCATGTCCAGCTTCGTCCTGTTCCTTCGGCTCTGCTTGGATCAAAAGGCACCGAAGGGCCTGCCGATGAGCATTGCAAGCACCAACGAAGAAGTGTGAGATGTCATGCTGCAGGAGCGAGTCGTGAAGTGAGTACAGGGGCAGCGGCAAGAACCTAATTCGTGCTCAGGTGACAGCCCTTGCACAGGGGTCAGGCTTCAGAGTTTGAAGGCTACAAGTGCCATATTGCAGTATGCCAGACGGATGGGACGAGGTGGAACCCAGTTGTCTCAAGTTGACTGTTGCGTCTGCATAGGCAGCGCTACAGAAGCAGAGGCATCTTAAGCCATGCGCAAGCTCACATTCGCATTGCCATTGCATTGGGATACACCCTCGCGGGTCGCATGACATCAAGCAGCAGCGGACATGAAGGAAATTATGGAGGCGATATTGTCGTTTTCACTCGAGCTTCTCGACGGCTGCAGAACATGCGTCTCTCAACGATGCAGCTGAACCAGTTGCTTGCTGTACACCAGAGCCGTAGAAGAATCTGCGTGAAAGCCCTTGCAAGCTTCACGAACCAGATCCGCCCATATCTTTTCCTCCAACATACTCGGAGTCGTAGCGTTGCTGCTTTTGCTGGAGACGACATCAGGATCTGTGGCAGACTGTGCCGATTCCTTGTTCCATTTCAGGCTGAGGAGGCCGAACAAATCCGAAAAACGCCGCAAAATAAGCAGGTCGCGCCATGCGGCTTCACAGGCAACAGGTCACACCGTAACTGTTCGTAACAGTAACTAACAGTAACTAGCTTCCCTTGATGATGCATGAGGCAGAGACTACTTTAAGGCTGGCGGCCTCAGCTCTCAGCTCAGGTCAATTTCTGTGGATCAACTATGATGCCTGTGAAGTGCCGCCAGTCCCAAAGAGCGCCTGAGAAGCCCAGCTCGGCAGCTCTCGCCCGGCACTGGGCACTGGGGTCCCTTTCGCAGCTGCAACGAAAAAGGAGTTGAATGGAGCCACACACACACAGCTTACATTTGCCTCGTTCTTGAACTGCTGGATAGGGCCTGGACCTGATACAGAGCGCGTGACTTCGGGACATCGGCTTTACCCATGTGAGCACTGCTTGCAAGATTCATGCAAGGGACCCCATCAAGCATGCGGAACGATCGCGCGATGGAAAAAAGGCATTGCGCAGAACCAGTAGGCTGGTAGCGCGAAGCTGCTCCGCCAGAATTCTGCGAACTTTAGCCTCATCCGATCACAAAATGTTGTGCTCTCAGGGCCCAGTCGAGCATTGAGATGTCACCTGCCGCACCACAAGACGGGGAGCTCGTAGATTGGGGCCTGCCAGAGCCTCAATCGTCGTCAAGGGACCCTAACGGCCCTTGTGCCGAACTCTTCTTGGCCCAGGCTCCAGCCGATTCAAAAGAGCGATGATGAGGAGGAGGAGCCGTCAACGTTCGCGGGGGTAAAACTGGCTTGGCTCCAGGATCGTGGGCGTTGGAATCGGCAAAGTCAAGGACGGCAACACGAACTCAGGTCTGAATGCAACTAAGACTAGTCTGCAAGGACAGCGCAAGGAGACTATGAGCAGCAAGTATCAGGATTTGATTAGAAGGGCTTGGCTGAGCTCCTCTTCAGTGCCGTTTCTTGCCATGTGGAACCTTCATCCCTCTTCAACGCGGAGTCAAGTAGTTTAAACGCACAACTCTTGGGTACATTTTCTCTTGTTGCACAGGGGTATTGCATCGAAAGCCTCACGGCTCGTGGACTACATTATGCAAATGACTGGCAACCGTTTCCGTTCCTTCAGCTGCGCGAACCCGATTGCAAACAGGTGCTTCCAAGGCAGAAGAGCAAAGAGTTCGACAAGGGCGAGAAGAACGAGAAGAATCCGCCGAAGTCGAAGAAGGGCCGAAGGCGACCGGGCAGGGCCAGGTTCTGGTGAGGCCAAGTTGATAGCGAAAGGGTTCATCTATCGAAGGAGGAAAAATCGGATAAGGTCCCGGTTTACCGGGCTCGGCCTGATGTCATGGGTTTGGAATGCTTGGCGATATGCATTCCATGCTGCTGAAAGCGGTCTTGATGATAGTTCCATCCCAACATAGGAAGTAAACTCTAAGTCCTTTAAGATCGCAGAGCAACTCTGCAAAAGCCGGCAGGGATGGCCAGAAGCTCGACATGAAGAAGCTCCTGACAGAGGCTCCGGGTTCGCACGTGAGCACCTCTCTTCCACAGGAGACTCTTCAAGTTTCCTTCCACAGGGGGAGCTTTATGGGAAGCGCATGTCTGATGGGCTCTGACGAGAGTGAACAGACCTCAAGACCAAGCATGCTTCGTAAGTCTGCAAGACCGGGGGGTGATCTTATTGCATGAAAACGCTGCGACATTTGTGGGTGCATGGGATGCGGCTACTGCTTGTTGACGATGTTGTGACATGTTGTGTACTGAGAGTGAGTCCTACGAAGCCACTTACTAATTCTGGTCGGTGCGCTGGAGCTTTATCCTCCTACGGATTGGGGCTCGGTTCTGCTGCGGAACCGGGAGACCTAGAAGAGAGACGGACAGAGACTGAGGGAGGGAGATGGACAAATGAAGCTTTCTAGACATCTGGAGTTCCAGTAAAGGAGGAGGGAGAGGGCAAGGCAAGACGGTAACTCGCCCCGTGGTATGTGAATTCCGGACAGGGAACCCAGGCGGAGCCAGCCCGGGCCTGAAATCTTCACCGACTGCGGATTTTCGGTTCGGCGTAGCAAGGCCCAAGATGCAAGGTTCCACTGCATTCCAAGCTACACCTATCAGTTTGGGGCCGCATTCGCCAGGATTCTATGGATGTTGGGTTGGTTTTCGATGCGATGCAAGGAGGCTGTGAAACGATTCCGTGAAAGTCCGAGGCGAAGTCCGTGACCCAGGAGAGCGAAGCAAGCTCGCAGACACCTTGGCATCCTTGGCATTTTGCTCGTTGAGGTAGGGCCGGATTGGTTCTGGCTGTGCTCGGGCCTCCCTGCTAAAGGCCTACTAGCAATTACTAATGACTAGCACTAGAAGTCGGCCAGTCTTCCAGCCTTGCTGTGGTTTGGGGTCTTCAAGAGCCTTCGAAAGCCTGCACACCATGTGAGCTCATGTGTTTTGAACTCGTCGTGTCGACGAGACTAAGTTCCTGTGACCAAACCGATGTGGAACTTTGTCCGTTTCGGAACTTAGAATACTTAGCAGTAAGAAGTCCAAGACGGAGCATGCAAAGCATGGCTAAGGTTCGCAGCGCAGCCGGCACAGCCCGTCGCCGCAGTGCCTGCACCAGGCCAGGTGGTGGCTTTAGCGCAACTATTGAGGCTTTGAGGCAAGGTTGCTCTTGCAGGCTGTAGAAATGGGAGTCGAATATGGCTGCTTTCAGGCTGTGTAGTGACAAGCGCGGCACAGCTATTGCAGCCTCTCGGGTCACGTGCCTGCGACGAGCACCGGAAGCCGTGAAAGATAATGAGGCTGCGCTCCACTAGTTTCATGTGCGTTTCTGTCGTTACCTTCAGAGGTGCATGGCAGTGTTCAGAAGACAAACACTTGACACCACCAGCTGTTTGCTTGCAAGTTTCCTGCAAGGAAAACAAGACAATCACGGCAGCACGGACCAACACACAAAAGCATTTGTCATACTTCTGCTCCGGCGGGCGCTTGTTTCTGGCGTTTTGCTTCGAAGCGAAACACCTCGCAAAAAGCCGACTCACGAAGCCCGCATGCTTTCGTGCAAGATTCCCGGGCAAGTCAACCTGCGATCTTCGAATTTCAATCTCCAGTTTCCCTATGCATCGCTCTCGCCATGCACCACAGGCGCCGCAGACTACAACGAGGCCGGCGTTGAGTTCATCTTTTGCTGCTGTTGGACAACGCGTCGCGGCAGCTTTCCTCCAGGCCTCAAGTTCCGAGTCTCGCCCACGTTGCAGGCGGTGCAGAACCTGATGAATGCCCTGGGTTCCAAAATAACCAAGGAGCAGGCCAAGCCTAAACCGTGGGATTGTGCTGCCTCGGACATCAATATGCGAAACTCAAGAGCCGGGGAGCCTTTTCTGCGGTCAGCACGGCACGTTGCGGCCATGCTCAGGTCATGGTAGTTGTCCTTCCAGTCGAGGAGGTTTGTGCTGCGCGGTGCAAAGCCTTCGGAGGTCGAGTACAGCTTGTCGCGCTACGTCGAGCAAGGCAGGGGACAATCGAGCACAACTCATCATGTCTTCTCGGGCGAGCTACCTTAGATCGCTCCTCCTGAGCACTTGTGAAGCCTGTGTATGTTCGCACGTATAATATGTACTCACACTTGCATACATACGCATACACAGAGACACACACACACATACATACACACACACACACGTGCACACACACACAGAGAGAGGCAGAAGCATACACATATTGCACATACATGCATACAGTACATACATATACATCTATCTGTGTGGGAACCATGCATGGCATCAAGCATCGGCCATCAGCCGGAATTGCGCCGGCATCGCCGCAATGGTTTGACCGAGAGGTGAAGCGGCAGGTCGTCACAGGTCCACAAAAGCCGGGTGCTGGAAGCCACAACGATGGTACATATGGTTCACGGTTCTGTATGAGTCACAAGATATTCCATCTGAGGCAGGTCCGAAGTGCATCGTAAAGGCGTATATTTGCAGTTCCCTCCGCAGCTAAGTTCCAGTTCCCAAGTTGATTGGTGTCCCGAGAAGTGCGCTTTGTTTTGGCAATTCTTAGGTCGGTGTTGGGGCCAGCCAGCCAAAAATGGAGAACTCAATAAAAGCGTTTGTCACAGCCTTGCATGGGTTCAGAAACTCGATGTGAAGTAATGTTGAGAGCCTGACTCAGTTGAAAGCTCCGGAGGCCTCAGAGCCTGAGATTGCTGAAATGTGAGCTTCCGCAACGAGGCATGGACTTGACGCAAGCGGCGGACTGCGCCTTTATGGACCTCGCCGAAGGCCAGGGTGAAGATTGGTGGAGCTCCGAGAGCATAGGTTCGGGAGGTGTTCCAGCCGCCGCCAGTGGTCGAGTCCAAACCCTGTCGTTCGTGCTTCGGTGCCTTCAGCTGATTGGCCGCTGTATGTTTGCGGAGGAGGCATCCATACTGTCGCGTTAGGCTTATGCATCGTATGGTGCAGACGAGCTCAGAGATGGGCAAAGCTTGCTCAGCCTTGGCAGGGCAGCCATCTGGATCACAGGAAGGGCAGCAACTCACTCAGCTTCGAGGCGACCGAGGCTGCCTTCATAAGCGAAACCCAACAGGAGAGCTGTCTTCGGATCTCGCTAAAGTGCAGAACATACGCACTGTTGACGACTATGGCTTGTCGCTGCTCCTTTTGGGGCCTTGATAGAAAGGACCGTGAAGCAGTGTCCGTCTCCCGCCAAGGCACAACCACACGGAGGCCGGAACATGGCAGAGCGATTGGCTTCATCCGTTTCCCGCAGCTCAATCTGCTGTGCACAATTGAACACACGGAGTGTAATATCATGCGAACCTGTAGAGTTCTTGAACAATATAATATAGATATGACCAAGTGAGCAGACCAGATTATCGGATAGCACTGGCGACCTTCACCTACACAACTGTTTTTCACTTTGCATCCAGAGGCTTCAGGCCATCAACCCAAGGCCTTGCCCAATATTCTTAGTGGTCTTGCTGCTGGAGTCGCTGGGGTCGATGATCCAACAGTCATGCAGATGCAGGTATGCAATGTCAGGGAGACGGAGCATAGCCGCCGCAGGTAAATTGCGATCAGCAGCCATGTCTTGTGGCTTGGATTGGCGGGACTTGCAACACTCAGACATTTCCTAAATCACATGACATAGCACTCGCCCATACGGCAAGCGAGTGTTTTCAGTCTTATCTCACGCTTCAAAAGCTGTCCGATGCCCTATGCGCCTTAGCTAGATCTCCTTAGCCTACCCTGAGCTACGACCACGAGAACCCGGATGTGCTTTTGCAGGATGCCCCTAGCTCTAGGCTAAGGTAGGCTCCGGGAATCCAGCGCTGCAGAGCGCAGGCGGATGCCGCAGTCGACGAGGGTTCTGAGGACGGGACCTGGTTCTCGCTTTCGAACTGGAGCTTCTCTTGAAGCTGCGGGTGTATGAAGAAAAGTACGGGCCTCACACCGCAGTGAATCCGACTCTATAGAGGAAGAAGACGAGCAGTTGCCCGAGCTCGACCTCCCAGTCTGGCTCCCAGCATATGTCAGGGTGGCGGCTTGCGCTGAAGTACGCGGGGATGTAAGATCGCAAAGTCGGAGCGGGCAGGATTTCGAGGAGGTGATTTGCGCGTTTGGTTCTGTGTTCGATTGTGTTCGTGTCTGCCTTCGTCTCCGTCTCGATTTCTGAAACGTTCATACCAGAGTTCCTGGCATGGTCTGATTCGGCCTCCCGAAACTGCATCCGAGGAGCTCATCCCACAAGAAAGGCGACCACCGATCCCCGCGACTCCCAAGGGCTGGAAGGCGCTCCAGAGCCTAGATGCGTTGATGGACTGCCGAAGGGACCTAATCAATGGGCTGCTTGTGAGATCCTTCATTGTGTTCGGGCTTGGATGATCCTAGAATCGGTCCTAGAAAGACCCTGTGGCTTGTGGGCTTTGGGGCCATTCGGCTGATACTGTAGTAGCGGCATGAGTGCAGCCGAGTCTCCGACACTGGCACCGAGACAATGACCTCGTCCTGATGCACAGCAGTTGGAAACACACAGGCTATGTAGAGGAATTGAGCAGTTCTACGTGCAGCAATCCGTACTTTTGCGAGTATGGGGTTGTTAGGGTCCAGCATGTCAGGCTCCTCATCGTAAGGAGCCTACTATTTCGGGAGATGTGGGTATACTCGGGCCCCTTATGTGCTGGAACTCCCATATAATAGATCTTCCGGCATTGAGGCGAACGTTACAGCAGTAAATGAATTACAGCTGAGACGTTGGATTGCAGATGTGCGCTCCGGAAAGCCTTTATCCCGGCTCGCGAGGAAGAGGGGCTTAAGGCCAAGCGTTTGCTTAGCCAGCGTAGCATCTTCCATCGGAATAGGATACGAATATGGCATGATGCGACATTCTAACCTAGGTTCTATCCTGGGGCTGCGTCGCCGCAAGTGACTGGTGACTGGTCCGTTTGCACCTGCTGCCGAGTATGACACAGCTGTAGGCAGGGACCCTTCATAGTGCATCATTGTTCGAAGTTTCAGCCGCAGCCATGACGGAACGCGACCCCTACGGTGTCCTGCTTCTGATGTGGTCGTTTGAACGTGCAGATGCGCTATGAGGGAGAACAGACAGCATGAGCCGAGGTCTAAAGCCCGGCAAGCAAGGCAGAGCGGGAGGTCACAGCCACGGCAAAGGAAAGCTTGCGCAGCCCCCACGGCCAGAATCACAGAACGTACCCAGATTTCTGGGCTTAGGGCGTCGAACTTTCATTCATCTCATATGTTACGGTTACTATATGATCACATTGACATGATGATTGCTCTCCATCTTCTGTAGCTCGCCTGACAATCTTCGGGCTGCCATGTCCTGCATGCTTTCCCTGGAGTCCGGGACACTCCCTGAGGCCCATCAACTTCAGGCGGCGCTGGGACCATGGAAAAGACCTCGACGATCCAGTCTACCCAACAATGAAGACGCATGGCAATGCTATGCAATGCTACATGGACTTGCGAGCATTCTACAGGCAAGCCTGTCATCAGCCCAAAGAGCTCGGACTAGCCGTCAGGTCACTGGTTGTGGCCTCTGCATGTTAGGCTTAGTTGTTTGACTGCCGCGATTTGACGCACCCGGCTCGCGGTAAGGATTCCAGCAGCTTTGATGCCACTGTTCCCCCAGGACTGCTTTCTTGGCGAGTTTCGCTGCACCTTTTGAGAGCAATCTTTTTTATGTGCTCCAGAGCACTTGTCGTTGAGCGCATCCATGCCTTGATTTAAACCCCAAACCCTCGAAGTTTGCGTCGCAGTCTGCCCCACTTTGAGCAGGACTGGCGATCTGCTGGACGAGCTCTGCTTTGTTTGGGCATGGCTGCCGGGTTGCAATCACAGAAATCAGCTCAAGGCCATCACCTCAAAAAACTTCGAAAGGCTCACTTTGTTGCCAGAACCGAGGCCATGCTTGAGGGCATCCGCTTGAGGTCCAAGGGCGCCACCCTGAAGTGGCAGAAGGTCACGCACGGAATCTAAACGAGCTCGCACTACTGTTGCAGTGCTTCAATCCATGAGCGAGTTACGAGCTTTGTTAGGCGACCTTGGGGCCGTCGAGTTTCAGAACTTGGGGTTCTCAGCAAGTTTTATCGCTGTCGACTCGGCTGAGATGATGCAAACCCTGGAGGCTGGCTACTGCAGCGCCCTGTGCCAAGAGCAGTGCGCGAAGTCCCCCAACCGCATCTTCTGCGCCTTGGACTGGCGGTCGAGATGTTGCTGATCTCATGCTGCGTTGATGCTTGAATGTCACAGACAAGAAAAACAGGCTACCACCGATGCACTGAGGTGCCTGGAGGGTCCAAAACACCGTCCACGACCATCACAATCGCTTGGATGGAGCTCTCTTGAGCCACCCTGCCTGACTGACTCATCTGTGAGATAACTTGGTCACGATTGGGTCAGGAGTCGCAAAGCAACACCTCAAGCAACTGTCCTAGCAATAACTTGATGCTTGGATCACCTTAATCCCTAGTCGCCCTAGTCTTCATTGGAGTATTCTTGATGTTTAGTGGTTGTTTTCGAAATGATCTAATGTCAATGTGGACATGGTGTTGCATTCCTGCATTGCCTGTGTTTCGTTGGTGTGTTGTTGTCGGTTGTGGCTGCTGCTGATGATGCTGCTGCTGGCGGCTGTGGTTGTGGTGGCATTTCCGTTTCAGTTGCGGTTTCGGCTGGTTTCCTTGAGCTAGTTAGCGTGCGAGCCAGTTTGTATTTGCTGTTGCGTTTGTTGGATGACTTGCTTGTTCGTTGATCGCTCGTAAGCGTGCATGCGCGCCTCTGTCTGTCTGTCTGTGTGTGTGCGTGTCCATCCGTCCGTCCGTCCGTCCGTCCGTTTGTCTGTCTGTCTGTCTGTCGCGGTCGTTGTTTTGTTTTTTTCTGTGTGTTGTGTGTGGGCGGCAGGCCGGGGGCTTGCCCTGTGCTGTTGGCCGGCTTATTTATCGATCATGTGTTTATGGCAGCTGTCAGTTCTGTTTCTGTTTCGCAGTTCTTGATCTGGCATGGTTCGGGCTTGGCGAACCTGGTGACCCAGGCTACAAGGGCGTGGTACACTACGATGACCCCAAGAAGCCCATCTACCGCATCCTCAACCAGGTGGCCCTGAAAAACAGGTACAAGTCCGATGCTCGTCCAAGAAAGAGGGCTAGATACTCTTAGTTCTGTCCAAGTTGGGCAGCTACGGCTTAGAGGTTGAGAGCCTTTAGGGACTTTAGGGGTGAGGGATGGTTTGGGACCAAGGAGCGGATGGTTTGGGACACAAGCCAGGCTGCGTACATCTTTGCCGACCGCGAAGAAATACATCCAGGCTTTGGGATCCGGCCAGACCGCGATGAGTCCCACTACGCCCCCGACGAGGACCGAAAACATCGTAAGAGCCTCTCAATGTGGCTCTCTCGAACAAAAGGTTGATGCAATTCACATCCGAAGAAGAAGATTTGAGGCTCCGATTTCAGCAGCCTGAGGCACCAGCTCGAGGTCGGGAGGCTCCCAACAGAATTTCGACAAATCCGAAAATCCCAGTTTGCTTTGTTGGGGCGCTCCAGGATTCCGGAACCTGCTCCACCTCATACCCCAACGGTCCCTTCCCGGCTGGACCCTAAAACTGCAGAGTCTTGCCCGCAAGGAGACCTATGACTCTGACAGTGACTTAGAAGCATCCTCGGCGGACGAGGACTCGGATGGAGACGGCATGGCCTAGGTATTCTGGCATTCCGGACGGCCAAAGCTCGCCAGAGACTTGAGGCAGCTTTTTGAATACCAGGAGTCATGTGTGAGCAACCAGCAACACTACCTCAAGGCGAATGGCGAGCATGTCCCTCTCCAGCGTTTGAAGTCCAAGATTTCGTTTCGGTGGCAGAACCCCTGCCATCCAATGCTGCGTCCTGCAAAGACAGCACGAGGAATCTGCAAGCAGATTTCCGACCAGGGTCGAGATTGAGCAACTACCACCAGTAACTCGCAGCTTCGAATTCCTAGTCCTAGTGCTTATTATTCGAGACACTGTGGGTTCTTTCCCTGCAGTGTACATAGGAACCTACCATGCCGATATACTCCCTTACTCCAAGTACCTGAGTATTGGTGAATCGCCGTGTCTTCAAGGCAAGAATGTTTGAATGTGAGAGCAGGCTGAACCTTTGCTGAGTCCGCGAAGAGGCTCGTAGCACCAGTACTAGCGTCCTAGCGGGGTTCTATGGGATTACGACTAGAAGCCGAAGCTGCAGGAATCGTCTGGAGGCAAGGGTCGAGCAAAACCCCCCTCGGAAGCAAAAGAAGTCTCATCAAGGATTACCCGGATTACCCTCTAACAAAAACAAGCCTCCGTGTCCGAAGAACAAGACAGAAAAACGACACTGCGACGTCGAACACGGCTTGGGCTGAAAAAGCTGCTCGAGTTTGAGACTTGCAAGCATGGTTGCGAAGCTCCCCAGGACTAGATTCTGTTGCAACGACCAGTAAGGTTTCAAGGAGCGAGTGATGAGCACTGTGTGTCTCAAGCGTTCCACATCGATCATGCTAGACTTCCTAGACCTCGAGGCCCGGCCAGCATCCCGCTCTCGCATGTGCTCTGCGGTGTTGCCAGGCCGTTTGGTCCACCGAGCACCTGCCGCGAGCTCGGCTCTGGACTCCCATGCTGTGCCAGTGCCTTTAGGCATCCTTGGAGCTTCTTGAGTCCAAATCATTGCCGCATGTGAAAGTCAACTACTGTAGACGGCATCTGCTTCCAAGACACATGACTTGCTGAGAACCTACTACTACTACAACGCGGACCGGCGGCATTCGCAGTGTCTTGCTCGCAGAGAGGTGAGGAGAGATTATTCACTCGAGGGCCAGGTTGGGTTCAGCCCTGCCCTGTAAGCCAAAAGGAGCCCGGGCATGATGCCAAGGTCCTCGTAACTAGTAGCAGCTGTGTCTTTCGCGGACATAGGCTGGAAATCACCCTCTTCGCCCAACACCGTGAAGGTTTGCCGCAGGGCCCACACCCCGGGTTCCCGCTGCATGGTCATTGGCAGCTCCTGTTGGTAGCAGCGCACGCCCCCAAATCACCAAATATTTGCGAGAGTCTGAATCACCAAATATTTTCTCAACGAGCGTACCATCAAACTCTCTACCACCTTTTTCCACTTTCCCTCTTCCACCTTGTCAGACCTCATCGCATCTTCCTTCAACCAACCAAGCAACCGACCGACCAACCAACCAACCAACCACGTGCCCACAAGCATCCAAATCCTCAGCATCCCATTTTTCAACCAGCATGCCAGCAGCCCTTACGCCGTCATTTTCCCCTACCCAACTTAGCAGATGACACAAACCCTTTGCAAACCGCATCCCGGAAGCACTGTTTCACAGCAGTTGCCATCAAAGCCGCCCACTGTCCCCCCCCCAGCAGCAACCATTGAGGGCTGGCGGCTTGTTGGTTGACAAAGGGGAAGATTTGGCGGGGTGTGGGGCATGAAGTGGCATCAAAATGACTGGTAGATATGAGTTTGGTGTTTGTGTGGGGGGCGAGAGCGGAGTACATGTCGGCGCCATACACCTGAACAGGCAAGGATCACTCCAACTGAACCTGCAGGGGGCAATCTTTGAAGGACCGGCATGAGCCTCTTGGTTATGCATTCCATGTCCGGTCAGCTGCAGGTGGGAGTGGCCGCTGGAGGCGCGATGTGATTTGGGCTGTCGGCTGTTGAAGAGCTATTCTGTGCAGTTGAGGCTCCCATAAGACCACAACAAGCAGCACGACATGCCCAGCTGCGTCCACACGTCTGCATTCCAGCAGGGAAAGCCGGCTGACATGACCGATGCTGCTTTGCAGACGGTGGTCAAGGAGGCTGGGCTTGGGCCAATGGGGCCAGGGCTCAGGGGTGCCAGGCTCAGCCACGACTCCCTAATTAATTGAATCTCCAGTCAAATTCAACATGCGCGCCTTCTGTCAGATCAAGAGTGCAGCTGGCTGCACAGAATACAAGGCCAAAGTCAAGCGCCGCGCCCGGCATTCCAGTTGAAAATGTGGCGAAAGCACTTCCCTCCGAGTCTCCGAGCCTGAGCCCGCAGGTTGAAAGTAGGGCCCGTGCAAAATGACCAAGGCTCATGGAGGCTAATTTCTCGCAGCGCGGCGCATTGACGCGGCGCCGGCACAATTTCGGCACCTGGCTTTAGGGCTGAGTCGGGTCGGCCTTCGTCTCCAGGCAGTGTAGAGACAGTTGTAGAGACTGGGTCCGATTCATTCATGATTTGCTCACCCACGCTTTCGTTTTAACTGCCAGTCATGCGTGCACAGAGGTTGTGTAGGCCTTTCGTCATCATGTCCATGGTTGCGATTGCCGATGCCTGGGTTATGTCCATCCCCATTCGATGCCCAGTCGGTTTTGCATTTGAGCCAGGGTTTCCGTGCAGAGCGGCTCGCCAGGCTCATCTCCGACGAGCAGCGCATGATGGAGCAGGAGATGCGGTAGCAGGAAGGGCAGGCTTCACCACTACATCATACTACGTCGCTACGACTGTGGGATCTTTTGAGGCGTGCGTTCACTTTCGGATCCCTCATCGCCATACCTTCTGACCTGAGGAACATAACATGTCCGATTGGATGACCATTTAAGCCTTTGTCCGCCACCATGATTGTGTCTGTAGGGACGTAAACCAGTAACTCCCTCGGTGCCAACTTGGTGTCAGCCGAGTACCCCCAGTGGTAAACTCGGCTTTCCCTTCGACATGGATGGAGACAAAAAGCCGCTCTGAGGAGGCCAACGAGCGGTTCGAGGAGCTCAAGAAAGGCGACGGTCTGCACCACATGCGTTTTCTTTGTGGCTTCCACCAGGGTCGCATGAGAGCATGGTACGTGAAGTAATGTTCCTAAGCGCGCTGCCCGGAGCTCAACATCAGGCCAGAACTAAGATGCGAGGACCTCTAGGACCCAGGATCCGCCTACATGATGTACAGAAACGGTTGGGCCCAGACCTGCTTAGAATGCGCTGCCTGTGCTGCGACTCAACACTTCTCCCAGCATGAAGCCTTGGCCCTTTAGCAGTCTGGACGCAGGCTTGAAGCAAATGCATCAGCAGCAGGCCAGCGCACATGTATCTGTGGGATTTTATGCTGGCCTTGACAAGTTCTTCCCGGCTCTTCCAGCCGTAAGGGTGGATTGTGCGAGCTCAAGCTGTTGCCGTTGCATTACAGTAATCATTACAGGCCTTCGACCGAATTGCCTGCTTGAGACATGGATGCAGTTGAACGTGGACAACTTCCTGGAGGACTTGGAGTACGTCAGCGCCACAGGAGTGTTTCACAGAGAGGGGTTTCCTCAGCAAGAGCAGCGGACCGACGGGTGAAGCCAAGCTGCGAAGCTTTGTAGAATATACGATTATACAGAATATAATAGCGTTTAACAGCAATCGTTTTCAGCAGGCGTTCTGCGCATGATCATGTGCTGCAAAGAGAGAGAGCCCGAGTCCTAGCGACCGGCCGCAGCCCAGGTCTGCTGCGAAAGCTTTGTTTGCCACGAGGATCCCGGGAACAGATTTGCGGCTCTAGGACTCAGCCTTTGTCATTTGCTTGTTGGAGAGCGGGCGAGTTTGTGCGAGTCCAGACAGACTTCAGTAGTTTGAGTTGTTTGGCCGCACGAGTATGTTCAGACGGTCGATTGGTTGGGCGCTCGTTTGGAGAGAGGCTGGTAGAAGAACTGCTGTCGATTTCGGTCCTTCTAAGCATACAGCACGACATGCAGCAGACATGTGATTTTTTGAAGCGGTATGCCTCCTTATGTGTCTCCCTGACACGATATTCGTAATTGTTAGTTACTGCTAGTTGCGGTGAAGACATCCCAAGCTGAGATGCTCCTGTGACGGTAGGCGATCCTTCTGTGCTGGCATCCTCGACGACTTTCCCAAGTAGCTCGAGAAGACCTCTCCCAACCTTTCACTGTAGTGGCACTGTGGCGACAAGACTTGGAACAACGAAGCAAAACGCCGAACCGACCAGGAGGAGATATGCTTGAGAGTGCTCAAGGGGGAGCGGTTGAAGCTCTACTACCAAGATCCGCTAGAGGCCGCTTGCTTGGGGGAAAGTCCGCAGTCATCTCTGAGGTGGTAAACAGATCCTGACGACTGACACGCGAGTTTGTAAGGCACCGAAGCTTTCACATGCCAAGACCAGCGCACTCAGAAGCTGCAGAGATTCTCGTCCAGTATACAAGCTGTGCAGGCAAGTGTGCCCGTTCCTCCAGAATCGGGGTCGCAGTTCATAGGCCTTGGAAAAGAACGGTTCCGGAATGTTCTGGACAGGTTTGTACTAGTAGTTGATAACAACCGATACCATGGACCTGGGAAAGTCTTGGGTTCAACAACCGCTGACGCATTTGCGCTCCCATTTGCTTAATTGCTGTTGCACTTTTAGTGACTATGAGCAATGGGCAAAGGCACTTGCACAGGGCCCGCAGATCTTGTGCCTGATTTCTTTGACCCCAAAGCCCTGCAGTCGGACTACCTGGAGCATGCCAGACGCTCAGGATCGAAAGGCAGAGACAGAAGGATGCTCCTGTTAGCCAGATCTGGATCCGTTAAAACAAGCAGGCCCAAGCGTAAGGCAATCGCGAAGGCCCCGTGAGTATCCCTATCGCACAAACCTGCATACGGCGATGTCTCGTTGGCCCGCGCACTAGCCGCCAGCACCCTAACGGATGCCACCATGGAGCTCGGCGCTGGTTTAGTACACGCACCGAGGCCGGCGAAGGGTGGGCCTACGTCGGCTTCAAAGCACTTCAGCTTGGTTCAGCTAGAAGAGCGCATGCGTGCGCTTTCCATCTTTGGGTCAGACCTGCCGGCCAAGGACAACGAGCATACTCACGGATGGATACCTCAGGCGCGGATGGGCTTGTGACTCCACAGCGTCATCAGATGGCAATTCTGCGACGTTGGGCGGAACTGTCGTTTTGGTTTTAAGGGGACTCGCTAGAGGTCGTACTTCTATTATGGACGGCTAAATCACAGGACCCGAGACTCCTCAAGCCGCGCGATTCGACATAACAGTCGGAACATTTTGCAGTGCGAACATTCTTGACCGCCTGCCAGGAGTGCATGCAGGCAAGGGTCCTGGAACAGGACAGGGATTTTGGAACTTGCGTATCGGATGCCCTTAGGCGTCACTGCGGTAAGTGGCGTCCAGGATATATAGTCTGGAGCGCGAGGTTGAGGTGTCGGGCTCTATAGTATAGGTTTCGTGGGTTCACATTGTGATCTTCTCTCCGAGTGTAGCGTAAAGTTCAGTGTGTGGAAACAAGCCGGACCGCAGCAGCTAGCTGCTGATCGTTACTTTGCAAGTTCGAAGTCCATGTCGTCCAAGGTGGCGGTGAGGTCGCCTAAGAAACGGGTGCAGTGGCAGAAACTCGGCCCGCAGACTGGGGAATGTTTCCTACCTGCGTTCGGGCTTGTCCATGACATGTTGAATGCTTCCAAGGAGATACAAAGTGAGAGAGAGCTGGTTCGCGCAGAAGCATCACGACATCGACGGGCATCCCGGGCTTATCAGGAGAAAGCTGTGCATCCATGCATGGCCTAGGTTTTAATCCTGTCTTCGCACAGAAGGGGTCCATCGAACCGACAAGCCATAACCGAAGGTCTATCGAACTACTGGTTCCTTAGATTGCCTTCAAAACCCCAAGACAAAGACGAAGAGTCTGAGGTATCTCCGTGTGAACAAAGGGGACACCATCGAAATGCTGGAGACCGTGGAAGCAGAGCATCCGGCATGTTTAGGTCTTCGCTACCAACGCAACAACGGTGGGAATTAACGGTTTTAATGCGCAGTCATCGTCCTAATTCCACAGCTATGATGAACGATGAGGGCAGCACTCCTGGTCACTGCTGCGGCTCGCCCGCTGCGATGTGCATAGGAAGACACCATAAGTCAAAGCTCTAATCGCGTTAAGTCATCCGTGCACGAAGTCTCGAATTGCCAGGGCGCCTGTTCTTGGGCTGGGACCTGAGCTGGTGATGTACGATGCTGGGAAGGTAAGGCTGCCATCACTGTGACACTGTGCTGTCAGCTGTCGTTGCATGGCCACTGGTGGCACATCATCAATCAAAGAAGCCAGCTACTTGTACTTGGCAGCTAGCGCCACTGATGTTTGACCACTAGCAAGCACAAAGGTTATTCAAGGAGACAGGTTTGGCCGCTAACTTCAGGTGCCGCATTGAGGCACTATGAAGCTAAACTCTGTTCCAAGAAGAGACACTTGAAATCTGATCGCCAGGGTGTGGATCCCTTAAGAGAGCACTGTTGGCCAGGCAATAAACCCACATCCGTGCACTTTGGGCGGCCAAGCAGTGACATCAAATCAAAAGGTGTATTGCTACGAGATCGAGAGCGGCGTGGCGGGCGAGATCCCTGAGTCAAGGGCTCAGTGGCTAAAGCAGTGCTAAAGCTGGGGGCCTAGGGCCCAGGAGCCTGTTTCGATCTTCGCCCTCGGCCGCCAAGGCATTGCCTGGAGTGATTCGGCAAAGGGCGACCAAAGCCTTGAAACACCAAGTCTCTGCTCGGAGGGCTGTGAGCCTCCGAGCCTGAGCCGAGCGCGAAAAACCAGCGGCTTTCGCAACTCTGAAATCGGGGAACTTCTTCAGACTCAGAGGGGCTGTCAAAGGAACAGTTGGCTTCTGCTTGGCGCCGTTTGTCTGGCGTGCCTGGGTCGAAGAGTTGAGCTTTTCTTGAGCTTGCGAGTAGGACTCGGAGCCGATGAGCGAATCCTGAAGGCAAGAAAGGGGTGTCTTTGTCGACCGTCTCCCCTGGCCTCAATGACAAGTTAGAGGCGGGATTAGAGTGTAGTGCACCGCTTGGCATGCAAGTCTTTTTGCTACGGACGTGCAAAAAGCCTTCGCCCCATGGATGCCATGAGCAAGAAGCCAGTGCGAGGTTTGTAGGCCCTGAGCTGGCCAGGAGCAACACAAAGCCCCCTGAAAGGCGCTGAAACCACCAATCACAAATAAGAGCTAAACACGACTAAACCCTCTCCTGTGATCTTCGGCTGCCATGGCACTCGAGCTGGATGAGGTGCGGTCCAAGCCACTGCTGGAGCGGCATGGCTTCGATCGGTGCGTGCTCGATTGATCCTTGTGCTAGGTCCGGGCGTGGCATTGATGAAACATCCTGTGTCGAAGCCATTTACAGCATGCTGTGCTGCCACTGCCACCCCTGACTCCCTGACCATCGTGAAGAGCAATGCAGCTGCGAGACGAAGATTTCCAAAGCAGAAAACTTGACAGTCCCACGATGCACCGAGATCTCCGCACTTTAGCAAAGGCCTGGCAGCTCGGAACCGCCTCAGCAGCCCACTGCCAAGGATGCGATGTCCGGTGTCTGCTCATGGGGGGTATGAAGAAGTTTACCCGCACACTGCATATGCCGAATATGCCGTTATCGTCGCTATGGCAGCTATGGAGTTGCATATTGCCCCATAATCCTGTTCTAAATGACAGCCCCGTCATTGACTTCCTTGTTGTCGGAAACGTATGCCATTGTCGCCGTGTCCATGCACCCAGGCTTGCGACTGTGACTTTGGAAAACGACGACACCGTGCGTAGCCGCGTAGCCTCTGTCCACATGAGGACAGCCAGGGCGCTGCCGAGCAGGAGTCGAGGAGCGGTATAGGGCCGGGTCATTAGAGTCAAGCACTAATTATGTTCCCACTAGCTGTCTTACGCTCTACGAACCTGAAGGTTTGAAAAGAGGGAATGCTGGAGGTTGAGAGCACTTGCCCAAACCAGCGGTTCTTGAGTGTTGTGACCCCAGGCCCCAGAAGTTGAATTTCGATGCTGGCGGTCTTTGTGTACCCGCCAATGACTTCAGTCGAACCAGTGGCTGTCAGTCTCGGTGGAACTGAACTGCATGTATATAAAGTCGACTTACTGTGTGCTCCCCAGAGGCGCTGAGCAGAGAAACCTTACGGAACCGGAATACCACACGAAATGGCACGAGTACCATATAATATGCCCTAAGGCGAAACCCGAAACCCGAAGAAGGACCTCCGAGCAGCCTGCCTCGGTTTCCGCCCCGAGCGCCACATCCTGCATCCCTCGCATGGCCGGCGAGGCATCAGTTGCTGGGTGTGCCCTTCACAACACATCGGTGCCTTTGTCTATCTATGTTAGATATCCATATAGTAGGTCCATCTTGCAGTTTTTCAATGGAAATAGTCGTTAGTTTGCTTACCAGCTTGCTAGATGGCTGCCTTTATTCATGTAACTGCTTGTTTCCAAACATTACAACTGATTAAACATATTTCTGTACTTGCAAACAGCTATTCACGTACTCTCATTCACACATTACGTCTCTTTACTTGAGTACTGTTGCTAATGCTACTGTGGTGATCTGCTAGTGAGCGGGTGTTTTGATCTGGCAGTCCGAAGGAGGCCTCTAGGAATCGCAAAGAAAACTCGGAAAACTCGTGAAGTTGCATCGGCTCGTTGGCTGAAGGCTAGTTCGATGACGAGAGCTGCTTCATCCCCCGATGCCCTCTTGTGAGCTAGACTTGCATGGGTTCAATATTGATTGACCCTTGCTGCCGCAGTGTCTTGAAGCGCCAGGACACCGGGCCCACGCCAGACGGGGGCCCATTGCGAGTAACTCATGTGAAGGTCCGGGCCTCGAAAGAATTGAGTTGCAGGCTTTGGCCCAGAGAGTCAGAAGTTTTGCACACATCAAGGGGTTTTATATAGGCCATTGCAGAAGCAGCGGATTCGGATCTTCTGCCTGGCGAGCACCCAATGTAAGCTGACATGCATTAGCATATTCTGGCAGAACCCTCATGTCAAAGATGAGGTCGAGGGGAAAACCACCGTGCAGCGCATAGAGCTGACTTACAGCGACGGCTCTTTGTGGCCGAGCGGCATTTCAAGTCTCTTGTTATCTGATTCTGTAGAGGAGAGCTTCCAGAAAAACTCCCCGGCCCGAACTGGTCGCTAAAAAATCATGCAGATGCTGCCGAATAGCCGTAGGAAGCGATGAACTCCTGTCACCGCTCTCCTAGTTCTTGAGGTGGGCCATGGGTCCGCCCCTGGCTGGCGGCAAGAAGCAGGTGAAGAACAAGAGGACACCCGGCCCGCACGGCCCTGCACGCCGGGGCTTTGGAGACTCAGGGGCGAATGTGAGGCCAGGTCAGGCGTGTGCGCGGGCACGCTCGCCTTACGTCTCAACCTCGCATCTACATAAAATCTACATGTGGCACAGTGCCGAGGCAACTCGCAGGTTTAGGGTTTGCCAGTTCGCCTCACCTTGAACTGAGAGCCGAAAGCATCCTTTCCGGAGGAAGATGGACGATGGTGTGAAGATCATGGTTCCCGGGATGCACAGAGTCGAGCACCTTCTCGGGTTTTCAGGGCTTTGGAGTTTCCTCCAGGAGATCTGCCACAGAGACCTCGCAGAGCCGGGACCTGTGTGAGAAAAGGCGCACTCCCTGAAGCCAAGCTCCCTGAGACGCATCACCGCACCACTCCCGTCTGGTTCCAAGGTCTTGAGCGACGACGAGACCTGGCGATGAATTTGGGGAAGCCAATAGCTGTCATGAATGCCGTGTGCTCGCATGGTACAGAGAGGTGGAGACAGAGACGCAGGGATGCAGGGAGAGAGAGACAGAGACAGAGACAGAGAGAGAGCAAGGAGACCCCCTGGCCACAGCCCTGTCGAAAGAAAGAGCTAGGAGACAGAGAAAGATAGAAGCAGAGCAGGATTGCCTGGCTACAGCTTGGTCAGTATACTAGGCCGGGAGAGTGGGGAAGAGAGAGAGAGAGAGAGAGTCCTTGCCTTGGTGGAGTGAGCCAAATTCACTACTCGCCCCACGACAGTCGGGGGCGCTGAAGCGCGCGGTGCCCTTCACCATAGCCCTGGCAAAAGAAAGAAAAAAACAAAAGCCTCGGGGGACGGGTCAGGGTCGCCCCCTGGCCCTTAACCCTGCGGAAAGCAGGAGAGAGGGAGGCCCTCGTTTGGGCACAGCAGCGCCTGGTTTTGCACAGGGTGCGGCAGTGCACCATGCAAGTCTGCTTTTGTTGCCCTCACACTGATGTGAAAAATTGTGCCGAGGAGTTCATCACCGTCACCTGGCTGACTGTCTTGTGGCTGCGAAACGTACTGTTTGCTGAGCGCGCATGATGAACGTAAGAAGCACCAGTCCTGTTTCTTGAGACCTGTTGCCTGGGGATGGCCCAACCTTCGAAGGGTTAAGGAAACGAAGTTCGAGATTTTGGAAAGGAGGGTCTATTTTTTGGGGTCTTTTTTTTTTG